TCAGATCTACTCTAATCTTCGATTGCTTGAAAATATTTCCTCGTTGATCATTTGGAATGCATCCAAAAAATATTTTCAGTTCGATGTGTGTTTTACCCCGGAGATCGCCAAACCGTCGATCCTGAGCTATTAGCAGGTTTCGGAGAAATTTTCGGTAGGTCACACTTAGATTATCGACCTGCAGATCCACTGATCTCAGCCAAATGACTCACGAAAACTGCTTGTTGCGTACTTCTGCGCAACTGTCTCTGTCAGGATTGTGTTAATTACAGTTATGTGCTTTTTGGTTCATGTCGGTACATCAGACATTTGCCAGTATGGGCAGTTGGATGATAGTTCATATGCTTGTCTTGGTTTCGTTTCTTCCTCACTATAAGATTTAAAAACCGGTAGTTTGCTCAGAAGCTTCATAATTTCGGCGACGACTGTTTTGCACATTTCTTTGCTTGGTGTTTTTCTATATCCATTTCAGGGCTGTTTTTTACCTTTAAAAAATCTACTTTTCTGTGTTTGATTGATACCTCTATTTATAATACGCCGAGGAAAGATGACGATTGTGTAACATTTATATAAAGTCATCGACACGAACACTCTTAAAAGTGCCACTGCCAGTTGAAGATAACCTCCGAGGGTTACTTAAAACATATTCATAGATAATGTTTAAAAAATCACCAGTGCATATGCGATTCTACATGACATTAACGTAACTCATTGAACGTCGTAGGTCTACAACACCTTTCGATTCTTCGTGTGAGACCACGAAGTTTCTCTTATAGCTATTTATGTGAATTACAAAATGAGAGCTCTCTGAAACGTCAATGAGTTGAGTTTTAGTCATTGTGTAAAACTTTAATCCATAACATATGCTAATTTCTTTCCGTATTAACCTTTCCGGTTCTGCTTCTCACTTCGCGTCTATATTAATATTTTACGCACACAATTCAATGATTTACCTGTGATGATGAGTTAACAATTTAATGACGCCTTTTCATTCTCCAGATGTACGTTTCATTTCCGAAATAAATTTGTTCGCTTAATGTTTGTCGATCTATCTTTTACTCGCCTCCTGTGCTACTGACATCTTAAAGACATTTGCAGTAGTGACGTAAAAGGCAGTTGTGCTCCAGGCACAGGTCGCAAAATGCGTCCTGTAGTCTCGGGCCTCCCGTTGCGCTCTCATCGTGCTCAAACGGCGCACGTCGTGAGTGGATTTCCGTGTCTGGAAATTGCATCCGGCCACGGCCCATCCCCGCCCCTCCCCTCCGCTCCCTCCTGGTCGCTGCCGTGCACTCCTTGCTGTCGCTGCTCTTGCCCTCTCCCTTCCCTTCTCCCTTCGCCTGTCTCTGCTTCTCCCTCCATCTGCCTCTCTTTTTAGAATTTGTCGCTCTCCTTGCACTCCAAACACGCTGCTTCTCTTTTTCATCTAGTACAGGGTGCCCAACTTTTAAGGCCCCAAGACCACAATTAAAATCTTTAATATGGTCACGGGTCCTATTTTCATTACTCGAACGATCCATATCTGATTTTCACGTGGGTGGGTGTTTTTTTTTTTTTGCCAGGCTGGTCTGTTTCGGTGAGGGGGGGGGAACTATGTGTGATATCAGGCTACACTATGCATAGCACAGTGAAACACGTGGGGATGATTTCGAATGGCTGTATTTACTAGAAAAGTCCTTAAATCTAAACGTAAACTATTTTTGCATTAAAGGGCGTGTTGATCCCGGCAGGGCGCGTGCGTTCGGTGCACAATATTCTCGAAAGACGTGGATCAACGGAACTTTCACTTTTGACTGACTTTTTGCGGGGCCAAATAACTGGCATCGCGGGACGCGAGTTGGACAACCTTGATCTAGTACATACCTTTCCCTCAACGTCTCATCTTCTGCTCCTGTGTCGTGCCCCTGGTCTTGATGCGTGTACGAGATGTGATGAGTGTTCGTATGCTAGGATTACATCAGGCCGTCCGATAGGAAAGTAATTCCCATTCGATGCGTTTAAACGTACGCATGCTCCTAATGGGAAAATAATTTTAAGTGTGGAAATAATTTCATCGTATTTAATTGCTGTCACAAATGTTAACAAACTTCTACCAGGAACTTGACATGTTGATCTACGAGAATTATGTGAACGGGAAGCAAAGATCTATCAGAAGTCTTTTTTGTTTAAAAAAATAAAATTTTATAACTGGCCGTTTTTCATTAAATTTAGATTTCATTAAAACTAGATATCAGTCTCGGATTAACGTTCTCGTTTGTCAATTCTCTAATTCTGTGACCCGTGCCTTACGTTTGGGAGATTAAATGATTTCTCGTCTTCTTTCTATGAGCCGTACGAATACCCTCGTTACGACCAGCTTCAATGATCTGTCAGATACTACGAATCGTGAGAGAATGTCTCATTCACAGATTAAAAATGATGTAGAAGAGGTGCGTGTTTGTGTGTTTCATTCTCTGCCAATCCGACTTCCCGTTCTGCGCCCGGCCGTTCGCTCGTTACGTTCCCCATTCGCGACCTGTGCTGCTGCTTTCTCCCGTTGCTCGCCCGTTGCCCGCTGCAGGCTGTAACCACGTCGGCTGGAACCCGAGAGCATTTGGCCGGAGGAAATTTCACGGAGGCATCCCAACAAACATGCAAGACTCACACCATCCTAAAATTTATCGGGCTCATAGAGGTTCCTATGTGTTCCTTCTAGCTCTTTGTCGAAATGTTTATATATTGTACATTCTAACAAAGTGTAAATATATAATGCAACTTTATAGGTGAGAAAAGTTAAGTTTTCACGTTTGGTTTAAAAAGTATAATTTATGTAAGGCTTATATGACAAACATTCTAAATCATTTATGGAAATTCTGTTGATAAAGTTGTCGATAAAACGAATCACTTTGGTGTTTTGCCTTAATTGAATATTTCGAGAGGTAGTTTCATCGATAAACATTGTGGCGGGGGCGTACGCTTGGAAGTTGTACTCGTATGAGAGTGGCGCGTGCTGTCGATGCACTCGCACGTGGTCTGGTCATCGGCGTCTTGTTCCTGTGGCGTTCGGCGCGGCCAGAGGCATCGCCTCCGCCGCCGCCGCCGCCGCCGACCTGTTGCGCTTCTGTCGGTGGGGGCTACCCCTCCCCCCACTCCCCTTCCCACGCGCCGCTCGCATCTCGTTACGCCCGTTTTAATGTAATAATTTAGAGTGCCGTATGGTGAAACTGCCGGTGTTCGCAAAATTTCATTATGCAAACATTTTACTAGGCAATATGATAACATTTGGTGTCCGGTTTTAATGGGAGGATTTTTTTACGTCTTTTAGATAAATTAAGAAGTATTACGTAGATCTCTGAACTAAATTACTAATTGTATGGTTTGAGGTATTTAATGCTGTATATTTGAATGCTGATGAAATTAAAATTGCAAGGTTGTTCAAAATTTCATGTAATCGAATGTTGCTGAATTTTGATGAAAAAATAATGCGGTGCCTTGAAATTTTATACGTATGCCATTTGATATACTGTTCTTGTGAAATGCTATTGCGTGTACCAATCCTGTGCAGCCCGCCCGTGGGTTCTTATATAAGAATACAACTAACGTTGTTTTTTTTTCTGCGTTGCAAAAGGCCACGTTCAGGGGCTCCAAGGAGGATCTGCATAACGATTTAGATCACTTTCTTTTTTTATGCAACTATACCTAACTAGAGAGGACTACGTTTTACGTGACTAATTGAAAACTCCCTAGACCGTTCTTGATTGGCCGTGATAAGTGAACGATCAGTTGCGCATAGCGATGAACAAAGCAGGGGAGTGCTCTGCCCACCTGAGGCAAGGATCGATTTGGAGGGCCTTTCTCTGAGCAGCGGGCCGGTCATCGGCCATCGGGCGGCGGGCGGCGCCTCTTACGAAATTAGCGTCTGTCGGATAATCGGTTGCGTTACGCAAGCAGCGTTGGCCGCGCCCCGAGCAGCAGAGGCGGCGGCTGCTGGCCGGGATCTCGAGGGATGGACCTTACGTAAGAGGGTCTTCTCTTGCGTCGGTCCACGTATTCACAAGAAAATCGTTTTAACGCAATTGGTTTACTAATTAGCAATGGAATTTGGGTTATCTGAAGAGTTGGAAAAATGTTTTGGCAGAAATGGACCACTGTAACGTAGTTACACACTCATTTAAATATAGAGGCAGTTTAGTTTATTATAAATATACAAATAATTGACTCGATTATAACAATTTCATATATACAGCTCGAACAACATGTTCGATTAACAACGGAACTTGAAGGTTCCAAGAGCGATGGAGGTTCCGGCAATTCGCTGCCGGCAGATGGCAACGACTTCAACTGGCGACTCCCTGAGGACGGTGCCTAAGAACAAAGTGATGGCCACCCACGGACGGGAGTAGCGTTGAGCAAGGACAAGTTCTCGTTTGCAAGAACACTAATGACTAAGGACACTACTTTGTCTACAAATAAAATGGACAGGCGCATTACATTTCAAGATTTAAGTCTTAGTTAGGATAATCTCAGCTATGTGTCTTCCTATTTTCTCAAAAGGAACATAAAATGCTTACAATGTTTGCCATGGGCTACATGTTTCTCAGACACGTACAAAATATGTCACACTGTTAGACTGAATTGAACATACGTGGTATCGAAGTATCCACGCCCTCCTGCCACAAAGAAAGCGTAATATCATAAAATATATTGAATGGATATATAATATATACTTGTCGCTTCGTAATGAACAAATTATCTTGATACATTGGTATGTTTGCATTGCAATTAATTGTTGGCTTTCTGGAAATTTCAGAGACGTTAGTGTTGTTTATTCCCTTAACAGGATTATTAGTGAAGTTATAGCATTTGCTTTGAAATCGGCAGTGAGAAACTTTCTCCTCTACCATTGCCACATATTGTAGTTGCGTCCTGTCCACTTGCATTATCTATTTCCTGCACGAGGCAGTCGGAGATGGTCAGTTTCCCCGCGCGCTTTCCCTGACGATGATACCGAAAGCGCACGTGTGTCACCTTGTGACGTTGGCGAGCGCGGCAAGGGCAGGGGCAGCAGCGGGGACCGACGACTCTTGCACCTGCTGCTCCTGCTTCTGTGGCTGTGGCTGTGGCTGTGGCTTTGTCTGTGGCTGCGGCTGTGACTGTGGCTGCGGCTGTGGCTGTGGCTGCGTCTGTGGCTGCGGTTGTGGCTGCAACTGTGACTGTGGCTGGCGGCGTTGTCGAGCCTGCTGCAGGAGCGGGCCTCCGCCCCATGCTGCCTTCACGAGATCCGCGCCCTTCTCTCCCACCATGATGACGGGCGCGTTGATGTTGCCGCTGGGGATGGTGGGCATGATGGAGGCGTCGATGACGCGCAGGTTGGAGATGCCCTTGACGCGCAGCTGCGGGTCCACCACGGCCATGGGGTCGCCGTCGGGCCCCATTTTGCAGGTGCCCGACATGTGGTAGATGGTCATGGTGTACTGTCGGATGAAGCAGTCCCAGTACTCGTCTGTGAAGAGCGGCAGCTTGCGGCAGCCGGGCACCGGCACGCGGTGGTAGCGCGCCCCGAAGCGCTTGAGGGCGCGCGTCTCGCCGAAGGCGATGGCCGCTTTCACGCCCTCGCGCATCACGCCCACGTCCTGAAACACACAAACCCGCACGTCATGTGGCTCTGTGCATGGGACATTATGGGCTCAAATTCTTGGTCAGCATGGGCGTACACAGCCTAAAGCAAGAGCGGGCAGCATATAAATATATGGATCCCTTAAACCAATAACCTTTCTTTTTATTTAAATTTTCCAATTTTTCTAAAAAGAAATAGATATTAAAAGGAGAACATAAAATCAATAAAATAATTCAATAAAAATATACAAGGAGAATGAAATTAATAACACAATTAATTAATACATTTTATATTGAACGAATTATAGGGTTGCCAAATGGTTCGGACAACCTTTTCCCAAATGTCATAAAACAATTCCCTAAATTGTCAGGTTAAATAATGAAAAATAAGGGATTCAACATATTTACAGAAATGCATTTTTTAAGGGTAACGGGGCCCGAATTAAAATTTTCAGAGGGGACGCTGTCCGCCTGCCAACCCTGTGCGTACGACTAAGACTGTCCTCTCTGTAGTTCAGGGTAAACACTTTTTCTGTCTGGACTTTCGGTCAGGTTAAATGATCCCTTCTGTAACAGCAGTAGGGGATTATCTTTGTATTACTGAATTCCAATACGCGCAGAAATTGAAAAAAAAAAACAACAAATCAGCCTATCGCCTTGGAAGAGGTGTCGGTGGTTTTGCTAGATACCCAGAATCTCGGGAAATATACAAAAATATGTGCATTGCTTATTTCCAATTCTCGTAACAAATCCAGAAAATCTGGGAAAAGAAAAAAAAGTTTCTATTATGACTGAAAAAAGAAATATTTTTGTGTCATTCCGTCTATTCCAATACTGATCACACTTGACTTCATTCTCATACTCAGTGCGCCACTGCTTATGACACAGCTGAGGTCATGCGACAGGAAGGCTCCAAGGAAAGCTGCTTGCCATTAAATATTTACCATTCATGTTTTGTATTATGTTTTGGGGTAGCAATGTGTTATATATTTTTGGGTATGAGAACGACTGTTGTTCTGTGGTAAGCATACTGTACTATGTTATTCCAGTGTGCATGAAGACGATATTCTTGTGAAATGTTTAATTTATTGCATTGATAAATGAGAGAACGTATTTTATTTGTCAACGAGCAGTGTGTGTCCTACTGTTTGGAAAACTATATTGTGTGAGTTTGTTCTGCCGCACTTTTACTGCGGCATTCCTCTAGTTAACTTATAAGTGATACGGAACCAAGCCATTACTCCAAAACTATTCTCAGAAGGAACCGAATTAGCGGACAACTTCTCGAAATTATTGTCTCACTAATACTGACATATCTCGTACTGTGGTTCTTACTAGTCATCTGCTTTATTTCAGTAGTGTATGTGGAAAGGGATGTTAATAACATGTCATGTTTTGAATTGACAACACCTTCTTGCTTTGCCCAACTACCCTCTAACACATCTAATTTGAGGAACATTTTCACTGGAGTGTGTGGGAGAAACTTATTTTTCTAAATCAACTGTATAGCTATCACCGTCGAAATTGGTGTTTCTATAAATGAATCATTTTCAAAATTGTATCTCACCTGACTTTTATTTCACGGTAGGTCTAGTTCATTTCATTTTAAAATGCTCTGTTTCATCATTGCAAAAGTTTAATTGGTGAATCTCTTTTGAAAACCTTTTTGTCATCATTCATCTTCGACTGTGTTAAAAAATGGAGCATATCTATAAAAATTAATTAATAATAGCCAATTTAATGTTTTATATCTCAATTTTAGGAGAAAATGGTGAGAGATTACTGATTACAGGATTTCCGATGATTATCGGTAATACGGTGCAACTTGAATGATGTGTCGGGGGGTGCTGAGTAGCTAGTTGTACATTATACTTAGGAATTTAAAAATGTTCAGTAGTCATTAATTTTAATTAGAACGATGCTAACGAGATAAGGATGATAACTAACGATAAGTGGTTGTTTTTATTATTATTGATAGTGGAATTGAAAAGTTTCAAGTCTAGTGAAAGTGTGTTTTCATGTAGCCTACCTTTGTAATTGTTCGACAGATTTTAAATCATGAGTGCCTGTATAATTGTTTACTGTATAAGCGTATTATTTTTGAGTAAATAATTTGCTTCGTAAATTTTGATTTTGAATGTGATGTGTGGCATGATCATTGGGAGAACTCTCAGGGAAGATGCTTGGCTACTCACGTGCGGGTCAGTGAGATAGTTGTGGTAGAGCAGCGGGTACTTGAAGGGGTCGTTGCTGCGCAGCAAGATCTCTCCGCGGCTGCGCGGCCGCAGCATCATGGGGAAGACGCCGAAGACGTCCTTGTTGTTGAGCGAGCTCAGGTACTCGTTGTAGAAGCGGTCGGTGAGCCCGTGCGCTCGCTTGCCCTGCGTGCCGCCGTCCGACACGGTAGACGAAGACGTGATCATGAACTCCATGTCGGGCCAGTCGTCAGATTGGTTGTTGTATTTCGTGGTGATGAATCCCACGGCCTCCAGCCCCACGTTGGAGGTGAGCGGCCCGGTGCCCAGCACGGCGTAACGCATCGCCGCGTTCAGGTTCATCACCCGGTCGATCATGATGCTCACCTGCGCACGGAGACCATTCACTTGGACAATCATCTCTGAGCCATTGGCAGCTCGTACGAGATAAATCTTTCTACAAAATCTGATTGCATTAGAGATGGAAGTGATAGTAGGAGATAGTACAGACAATCTCGCTGCATAATTTGGACGGCTTTCAATGCTTATGCAAATTATTTAAGGCACGAAAGTTACAATAAAACGTTCTGTGAGCAGTTTATTTGAACGTCCGCTAATTGAACGGGGCGCATTATGTTCCGTGTATGCTTTCTCCTCGGCGTTCGCCTGTTTTGGCATTAATAAGTATTCCCTATTAAAACTCTGACGATATTTAGTGCCGGGCTCCTTCCATATTTCTTAGCACAAACCCGGGAGAAAGGAGAAAGGCACTGCTCTTAGCCGCAACCCTAGAAAGGTTGCGTGATCTGCTGCCTCTTGGAAAATCTGCAGCTCTCGAAATTGCGGAAGTGATTTGGTGCGCACAGCCATCGAGTTATTTTCTTGAAATAGGTGGACTTTCTTACGGGCTTTTAAAAGAGGTTCTACATTGGAGAGTTAAGAATGCAAAAGGAAATCCGAATTGTCTTCACTTTGCGGTCATGAAATACAGGTTTGGACTTTTGTTTAACGTTAATTAGTCATTATAAAGTGCATAACTTTTCTATGGTAAAGATGTTGCACATGTGACGAATGGTAAAGAAATCCGTCACCAGAACGTTTCCTTTATGGATACTGGTAATCTCAATCAAGGACTCGTTATAGATTGTCAATATACCCAGAAAATAAGCATTTGTCACATGCATTATATAACAAACTATTCGATGTAAAAGAAGGCATGTAATGTACAAATATATAAATTTCAATATTGTAAATGGGGGAGATTTTAGTTTTTGGTAGTTCAGTCACTAATTGTGTATAGAAGGTACAGAAGAATATTACGTAACTTGGTACTTAACTTGTGTTTTGAGTTCGGGAAGAATGTCTTCCGGTATACCGTTGTGAATTAAAACCCAAGCGTATGTTGAACTTTTTTAGTGAACCCTGCGTATGGGGAACACGCGTTGAACTGATTTGATGTCAAAATTATTCATAGAATTTATGCACTTGATCAAGTTAATCTTTCGAAATTATTTTACGTTCAGTCTGCTTTCGTACAGCTTGATGTTGAGATTTTTGTGTATTCCCTAGTGAGGCAGCCATCATCCTTGCAAAAACCTACTGCATATTCTTGGAGCCCAAAAGAAATTACAAAGAATAATTAAATCCCACGTGATACCTGCTTTTTGATTAAACTTTTAGTACTACCGATTCCTTCATTTAGGAGTCTTTGTTGTTTCCAAAACGATCTTAATCAAAGGAGAGTGCATATTTCATTAAATACAGAATTTATAATTACAAAACGTGCTATAATACTCATATTATTTGTAAAAGATGCTGAATTGAATAATGAAAAACATGTATTCATTATGAATTTATTATTTCCACATTGAAGATTATAAAATGTTAATTATTTATTTCATTGAAACTGTCATATCTCGATTTCCCTTTCCTAATATAGTGAATAGTGTGGGTGAATAGTGCGCCTCCACCGAAAACTAGATGCGATAGTGTTATTTGTTATGGAATTGAGTGGTTACCGGGTGGTCGATCTGCCAAAGCACGCCGCCGATGGCGATGTGGTCCTGAAGGTTCTTGCCGACGCCGGGCGAGTCCTGGAGCACGGGGATGCTGTGCGCCTTGAGGTGCGCGGCGGGCCCCACGCCCGACAGCATGAGCAGCTGCGGGGAGTTGATGGCGCCGGCCGACAGGATCACCTCCTTGCGCGCCAGCACCTTCTCCTTGTAGCCGTCCCGCACGAACTCCACTCCGTACGCGCGCTTGGTCTTGGGGTTGATCAGCACCTGCGACACGCGAAGGGGACTTGGGGTAGAGACACGCAGGGCGCGGCGCGGTAGAGTCGGTAGCGGGCTATACAGGGGACGTGACGTGACGTGACGCGACGTGACGCGTGGGGTAGAAACACGCAGGGCGCGGCGCGGTAGAGTCGGTAGCGGGCAACGTAGGGGACGCGACGCGACGCGACGCGATGTGACGTGACGTGACGTGAACTGGCGCGGATAGTTTAAACATGGCGCTGTAGAAAGCAAGTGTTGTGCCTGTACGAAAATATATTTTTAAAATGGACGATATTATGTCGTAGGCGAAGATAGTGGATGAAATCAGTGTGTTCACGGAGACAAGCGGGAGGAAAATTCATTTACCTCCTATACTTCGCGATAGTGGAAAAACTTTTCAGTTTTATATGACTAGAAATATGTTAGAAAATGTACGAATTAGGACCATGTAAGTGTCTAGTACTTGAAGAATCCATTGCCTAGGCAATTTCTTTCCACATATTGGTAATAACACATCTGTTCAGATGATGTTTGTGATTACTCTGCCAAATTGGTGGCCTCAAAAACACTTCGTGAATTAACAGTTCCCTATTCATGATCACACGCTGGCGGGTTCAGATTGCGGACATTTCGCGGGCGGTTCGCGCGAAAAAATCAAACTTGATTGTTCCAAATTGCACTGCGTTTGGTATGTGCTCGTGCTCATACTCATAAATAAAATTGTTTGTTGTTATTGTTAATTTTCGTCGCGTCATATTGTCGCGTTGTCACATTTCGTCGCGTCATATTGTTAATTTTCGTCGCGTCGCGTCCTGTGTTTCTGCCCTTGGATGGGGCACATGTTGGCAAACGGACAATCGAACGTTTGTTTGCCCTATACTCAAGGTGGCTCCACACATTAAACATTCGCGGAGTAGCGATCTGCTTCTCACACTATTGGAAAGAGTTGATGTGCTCGGCGAATGATCGCTCCCTTTGAAAAGTCCAAAAGGTCGACAATTGCTGAATAGAGCGAGCTCCGAATGCCGTCGTTCCGTAAATAGCGAGCAACCCATCCACACTGCTCGGGATTCGGCGAGCAGTTGCTCGCTACTCCGCGAATTCCGAATGCGTGGAGCCTCCTTCAGGTAACTATCACTCCATCACGTCGTTGATATTGAACTGCATACGGAAACTAAGCCTAAGAATATATTTTTATGGAATAATGCATAAGAATATGAACTAAGTGCCCTGCTTCTAATTCTAATGAGAATATGACAAACCATCGTTCTTTTAATACATTCGAAAAAGTAGAAATCGCTTAGTTTAAAAGGTCATTAATTTTAATTTTAGTGAGGAATTTGGGAATTCTAAGTAATGCAAGTGTTCTTAGAAAACTAGTGTTGCATAAGATTCCTAGCGGCATGGGAAAAGATATACTTTGTTAATCGTACGAAAGGCGTTCGTTAACGAAACGTGCTCTTTAAATCCCAGATGGAGATTGGTGCGTGCCTTTCTCAGGAAGCTACTGTATACCAGTTGTGGGGAAAGCAGACTCGGGGAAAAGGCTTAATATCTTTATTTGGCAAAATCTACTGCTGTGAAGCTTTCTTTCCACTATTATATTGATCTGCAGATGGTTTGAGTGGAAACACGTGAAACTGAAATATTCACAATTGTTTGAATACTCGCGTGGAATATTAGTTCGATCTTATTTCGACATTTCTTGTATTAAGAAGAGGACATATATTTATTTTATTTACTGCCTCGTAAACTTGGAAAGGCGGTGAAATGAGCGCAGTATGTGCCTTTAATTACTATCCCGATTATAGATTGTCTTAGTGATGTTACTATTGGGCAGAAAAAATTTCATTATTTAATTAAAGTTTCAAGATAAATCTGATGTATGCAAAGCAATATTTGTGCAGAAAATGTAATTCCAAGGGAAAAAAAGGTTTTATAAAGTGATTTTTAATCGAAGTTTTATATTATGAATTAATCTTTTATACGATTGCTTTTTGGGTTTCCAAGACTTTCCTGGAAATGCAGTAAAAATAAACAAACTAATGACGTGAAGGAGCGACATAGGTAGGATTTTTAAGAAAACTGAATGAATTTAAAATGGTGAAGAATGTTATACTTCTGTTCTACTATATAAATTCGGCAATAATGTACATTGTAAATATTAATAAGTAAAAGTTAGTATGTTCACGGTTTGGTAGCAATAATTACTGGTTTCAGCTTTATTTCCATAATACCATAATATCTTAATAATGCAGAGACTAAATGTAGCGCGAAAAATATTTGACTGATTTTCCGTGCGTTGAATCTGTCAAAAACTTAATATCTAGTGACGAGAAAACTTGTACGGTTGTGACTGTGACACATTCAAGATTTGTAAACAGTATTTCGTATTTAACGAAAGTGAATTATGTGTGAACCACCTTTGTCCTTAACGTATAAGTTGAAAAACTCGGGATCTAGGGAAAGAATCGGGTAGGCGCAGGGCGGCGCTCACCTTTGTGACGTGCGCCCAGAGCGCCACGTGCAGGTTCTTGCGCAGGCGCACGGGCCGCAGGAAGGCCTTGGCCGCGGAGCAGCGGAAGCCGCGCCGCATGGTGAACTGGAAGGGCGCGAAGCCCGTCTGGAACTCGCCGTTGATGTCGCGGTGCTCGTAGCCCATCTCCACGCCCGCCTGCACGAAGGCGATGCCGAGCGGCGTGTTGAAGGGCGAGTCCTGCACCGTGAGGTAGCCGCCCGTCGCGTGGTAGCGCGTGTTTTTCGCCAGGTACGGGTTGCGCTGGTCCTGCGACTTCTTGAAGTAAGGCAGCACGTCCTCGTAGCTCCAGCCCGGGTTGCCCTGCGCCTCCCACGCGTCGTAGTCGCGCCGGTTGCCGCGGATGTACAGCATCGTGTTGAGCACGGACGACCCGCCGATCACCTTGCCGCGCGTCCAGCAGCATCGCTTGTCGATCATCGCCTGTGGTGCGCAACAGGAAATGAGCATTGTGAATACTCAACATTGATAGGCAGTCTTGGCAGGCAGGGCAATGAGAACTAGCGAGATAGTTGGTCTGGAATGTATGTAATTTACAGACATTTGTGGTAACTTGTTACTCTGCTATAAACTAGAATATGATTCTTATTATAACAATTCTTATTATAATTATAATTATTATATTTATAATTATAATTATTATAATTTTAATTATTATTATTTCTGTTATTACTATTTCTATTATATTATTTATATTATTGTTATTACTCGTGAAGTATTTACACATTTTTTAGTTTCGGAAACGATTGTTACTTTACATTTGTATTATTTTACATCAGCAGAAACTTTCCCCTAAAATGTGTACGACTATGCAATTTTAGAAGTTTCATTTTTGTACTCTTTAATTGTGGTCACTCCTGTCACTCCGTGGTCACACTTGTTAATTTGTGAAGAATCGCGCGTCTTTTAATGTTGAGGATAAATGGTGGTATATTTATTTCGGACAGTTATTATAGCTAGTTCATAATCTTGCTTTTGTTTACAAAATGTAACCCTTTGAATTGACGTTATATTTTCTTGATCTGAAAATATCATCCCTGATCTAGATCAGACATTACCAACCTTCTTTGTTCATCGACCCCTTATCCTTTTCTTTATAGAATTTCGTACGTAAAGATAACACAAAGAATGACCCATAAATATCTTAAATATAACATAGTCATACTTATAATTCGTTGTTTTCTAAATAACCTATTCCTATAGCCTGGTTCTGTGCCCGGTGCAGAAAATCGAATTGCGGCCTTTATCAGCAACAAACGTTAAATTTAGAGTTTAAAATCTAATTAGTGTAATAATATGGTGGGTGTAAAGGAGTGAATAAGCATGGAGTGCAATTTGTTTTATTCTTCCGCAGAGGTCCTTATTAGGGCTCCTTGCTTCCGAAGTTTGAAGCGGTGCCTTAGTCCACGAGCCTAGCTACGTACATAATCCTATTGATGGTCAACAGATACGAAAGAAGATAAACGAATTTGTAATTTATTACAGGTCTTGTTGCTCTACAACAGAAAATAATTAGTATTAAGTTCACCTAAGATTGTTTTGTAATCAATGAAATAATGATTGTACCTATCAATCGCCGGTTCACATTCAGCTGTAGACTTCCAATCGACCCCAAGATATTGACCCCGTCGAAAAACCTCAGGGTGTCGATACCGACCTCGTTGTGAACTCCTGATATGAATGCTGTTTTGTTCGTACTGATGCCATCGCTGCAGTTAGACAAGATCAAAAGAAAGTTAAGATATTTTTTGATAACTTTAATAGTAGATTTGTATTTTAATTTTTGCTTAATTTGTGATAAATTTGCGTTGATGTCTAGAAATGCATGTCATGTTAGACCTATTTTGTGTGAATAAGTGCGGAATATGTAAAACATTTGTCAGAAAAACTTGAAAGTACTATTCGAGAAATAGCAAAAACGTAACAGCACATGCTGGAATGTCCGCTATCATCTTCAAAATATATTTTTTGCTGTGTTTATGTATTGTAATGGTACAGGTTTATTTTGGCTGGAAGAATCCCAATTGATAAAAACAACTATCGATGAGTAATGCGTTAATTTAAAATAGCATGAATTATAGATGATATCGATACTTGCTAACGGTTGAATAGATATTAGTATTTCGGAGGATAATTATGCTCACGCGGTGTCACTTTGAAAATTACTTTTTTAACGGGTTGAAAACGTTTATGAGTCTCTAGATCGAAAGTTACGACGCTTATCATAGTTCTTTATTGGCACATGAAGCTTTTTCGCCATTTTGGCAATCTACTGTGCAATATATGGTGGCTAAGGGCAATGAAGGGAAATGGTCCCAGGTGCTACACATCGCACATCGCTCAATGGTGCCGAAATAAGTTTTTCGCTCACAATCACGCATCACTACCTGAAATTATTGGAACTGAATCTCGTTGATATTGATACTATTGACGTTCTATGGAATCCATGCTTTAATTAAATGGGTGGAAAAAGTTGAATTAGAAAAGTCGTAATGGAAAAAAATTAATAAAAAAACACGTTGTTACGTCGTTTTTACGCTAGAAGAGATTAGGCTGCCAGATGGTATTAAAATAAGTTGTAATTTAATGAAACGAATAGGAAATAAACTATAGGATAATTTTGTTCATGCAAGAGGATATCGAATCGCGAGATGTGATGAGTCAAACATTTCGTGATCTCTGTAAGACTAGGCAAATGACGAAAAGCCTCTCTTACCACGTGCAAAGCGTGCGTTTGCGTGGCGAAGTCCTACCTGGCAAGCGGTGGGCTGCGGCTGGGTGCGATACTTCCAGTCGAAGCGGCTCTTGTGCAGGTAGAGCGACAGCAGCGGCACGTCGGTGATCTCTGTCTCGTGACCGCCGGCCTCCAGCAGCAGCACGTTCCAGTGCGGCACCTCGCTCAGGCGGTTGGCCAGCACGGAGCCTGCCGACCCGCCGCCCACGATCACGAAGTCGTACTCGTGGCGCAGCACCTTCTGGTTGATGGGGCGGTTCTCCGGATCGAAGAGGTCGTAGTGGTAGTAGGCGAGCGTCGCCAGGAAGGTGGGCAGGAACCAGAACTTCTGGAAACTCACTAAGCTGGACGCCGTTTTGACGGCGCTGAGCACCACGCTCACTAGATTCGCCGCCATGGCGGTCGTTCGCGTTCACTGTTTCGTATTGGAAGCTTAGCCCTCGTGAATGATGAGACTCAAAGGGTAGTCATGTGGAACAGCAGAGAAACCCGTTGAAGGACGAAGTGTAGTGGTGTGTGCTCCGACCTGCGTTGGGCAGTGCTCGAAGAGGATGCGACGCTTGGGAGTCGGTCAGCGCCGCCCACCTGCATCCGCGGGGCGATACTGCGGCGGGGCGCGCCTCTTCCACGAACTGACAGCTCTTGTTTGTCAAGCGAGGCGGCGTGGAAACACAGCCTGTGCCCGGCCCACGACGATATTCCGCCTTTGCGAAACGCCTTTTTCCACTTTCCCCCGCGGGGCCTTCGTGGAGCGGCGTTCGCAGGCGGGGGCGGCGGTGGGGCGGGTTACGAAAGGGCGCAGGCGGGGGCGGGACGGGGCGGGGCGGCCTCACTTCCGCGCTTCGTGCCGCGGGGCAGTGCGCGTGAGCGCTTCGTGCGAGAACAGCGCCCCTGCCCAGGCGTCGCCTCTGGGGCGGGGTGGGGGCGAGGTGGGCAGATAACGCGCACAGATATTGTTGGAAAGCGCACTCCCACGCACTCCGCTCGCTGCGGTCTGCGTTTGTTCCTAGAACTCTTTATGTAATGGGCAGGCAGTGTTTTGTCACGTCGCTGTCGTTCTCAGACGTCCGAGCGAGTTGAAACACTTTACGGCCCCACTTAGGACGCGTTCCTTTTCCCGTTGTCTTCCGCCCGCTGCACTCGTGTAGAGAAGCGGAATCTGTCGTAAGATTGCTTTACAGTTTTTTACGGTGTTCAGCGTTTTAGTTCTCTGGACGGTTTTTCTTTTAGCAGCACGTACTACACACGTAAGATACAAGACACCAATTAATGAATATAATACGCGAATCTTAATATGACACTAATGTATTAAAGTTGTGATACATAGAAATGATTTGTAAAGGTTAGATTCACTGCACTATTTCACCACGTTGCACTTTCAAAGCATCCCTCTTTTGAATTTTCCGTCAGAGATTGGAATCTACTTCATGAAACACTGTACGTTGGAGAACACGAACGTATGTTGATTTAATGCACTTGCGGTCATCTAACGGAAAAACCCTTGTGTGGGAGCACTGATGTGGGCTCAGGCCGTCTGCTGGCTCCTGGCGTTGGCTCCTGGCGCGGCTGGGCGACGTGCGGACCGCAACTGCGCGCGGGCGGCGTGTGGCACGTGCAGCTGCGGGAGTGCGGCGTCGCGCCGCTCCGCTCTTCCCTCTTCTCGCGCCCTCTCCTCTCCACTCGTCTGGCGTCGTCCGCCGAGAGAGCAGAGTGGCCGCGGCGCCGGGGGCCGGCGGTCCTCGCGGAGCGCCGCGCCGCGCGTGAGCAGTCTCCCAGTGAAAGTCTCGCCTCCGCCTCCACGGCCACTGCCACCGTCGCGCGGCCTCCGCCGCAGCCGCACTCGCTGGGCCCCGGAGAGCGCCCCCCCCCGACTCGCCGAAGACGAAAGTGATCCAGATTTTCCTTTCAGCCTTTCGTTTGGCGGCCCATCAGCTGACGTGTCCTCCGGGCGGGAGAACAGAACACGGCCCGCGACGCGCTTCGACCGGCGGGAAGAGGCGTAACGGACTTCTGTGGTTGGAGAAATTGCGGAGAACGGTGCTAGATGAAAGCCTGCGAGAAGAAATGGTTTTGTTAATGATATAGTATGTTATTTCGTTCTAAAGAGATGGTTGCGGGCACTTTGAATGAACCATCAGAAAGATAGAGAACTAATACACGAGGTGGGCGTATGAGAGGGGACTTTTCTTACCTCGTGGATGCGGCCAAGGAATGCCCTTTGCGCGGAGAGGCGGAAGGCGTGATAAATACCGGAGAGGATGGAGCTAGCAGGTTGTCTTCAGTGGGCGGAGAAAGCGCTACGACTGGATGGGCCGGGATTCGAAGCGGTGACCTGCGGGCAGGAAAAGTAGCCACCGTGGGCGGCGACCCTCACCAAGATCGCTTAATCGGCGCGCGCGTCGGCATTTACTTAGCTCATTGCGGGAACAAAGAAGTTGAATTGTCAAGTGAATTCCACTTCACGGTACAAACACAGAATACACTCTGAATACCTGATTTGGCTCTGGCGTTAAATATTCACTTTCTCTCATGCAATCTTAAGTAGCCAAAGCCTCGTTACATATATTCTGATTCTCTCTTCGTATTAGTCATAGGTTTAGTCATAGTCACTGTTTACCTGTTTAAACTTTCCATTGGCTTCCCCTCTGTCTTGTGGAAGTTGAAGTCATGTGTCTTAGTTCTTCAGGGTTTCCAATTTTCAAGATCAATTACCTTCCATTAACATTTAATGATTGTTGATTTTATATATATATATATATATATATATATATATATATATATATATATATATATATATATGATAGTAAACTGCTTTCTTGTAGATTTGATTTGGTGTACTTTAGAAAACTTTCCCTGAATTTTTCCTCCCTTTCACTATGGATATCTAGAAATAAACGCCTTTGAGATTTATTAGCAACGAACTTCATGCTCTATAATAAACATACTTTTGCAATTCTGACCACTAAGTGTGTTTAGCTCTTTCCAAGTGATCTGTGGATTTTTTTCAGTTGTGTTATTTATCTAATGCGAATAAAATTATCATATCAAGGATGTTGGAATTTAGGGAAATGAATTGTGGAGAGAGAAAAGTTATTAAAAATAAAAATAATGATAAGTTATCTCTTTTTTATATCAAGGCATATCAAATGACGTTCCGTTTAAAGTTTGTTAAAATTCGCTCGGTATTCATTGTTCAAATTCCATTCAACAAATATTGTAAACGTTTCTGTAGAAGATTCAAAGATTGTTGGGCAAATTGCATTGTGTCGAAAATGTTAGTTCGAAACTTCATTTGTTTCAACTGTTTTTACTTCAACCTGTGATGCCATAATTGCAGCTTGTGACACTGCCCGCTAAACCAGCTTTCCAGCTTACCTGAAACCTTTTAGTCACGATTTTGCTTCAGAAATAGGGCTTCGGAGAAGTTCGTTGTCAAGTTCTCGGGCACTGCCTCCAGTTCGAATTTTTGTGCCACTTGTCGCACTCTTCGAGATATAACTGATGTTTCAGCTTTATTAGGATATTTTTTGGAGTGTAATGTTTCGATTAAAAAGTATTGTATTTTTTACGTTTCTTGCTCCGATTTTAGTGTTTTGAATGAATATCTGCGTTTTAAGTCTTTCATTGTTTAAGTCTTTTAAAGTCATTTTTGTCGGTTTCATTTCTAAAATATTTTTCCTTATTTACGTTGCTCTAATAACACTTTTTCCATGCACACAAACGTTTGAATGAACCTGTGCCCCTTACTACTATAATTAGTGGTTCTTCAACAAATGTATACAAAAGAAAAGTATTAATAATTAGCTCTGTTGCTGAATGCAGTATCATCTTGCAACTTCTGTATTTTCTATAGACGACGTCACAGACGTGCTTTAGACCGTTATAAGAAAACAAAACAAGTAAGTTCATTGTCGTGTTCGCTTGGCCGCCTCCTGACTTGCGCCTTCGCCGCGGCCTCTTCTCGCCGGCGGTGGGCGGGAAAGCTCCGCTGTAGTCGCTCGAGGGCGCTCTGAGTGGCTGCTTCTGCTGGGTTCCCACAGAGACCCCACGTGGTCTACCACTCGCACGCCTCTGTAGGTGACGCTGCCGTAATGGGAGCAGCGCTGCTCGGTGGGAGATGCTATCCATGGGATTTTCTCGCTTTTTCTTCTCTCGCATCAGCAAGTCGTATGTTTGTCCTCAATGTGTTGGGTTTTAGTTGCCAAATGTAAAATTGCTTTATTTCCTGTTTTTTTAATGTTCATGTGTACAACCGTTTGTGCCTCACTCAATGTTTGAGATGCAAAAAGCGAATGAAGTTTCATTATTCACTTGCAAGAAGCCTGATATTTGCATTGCTTTTGAAGACTTCTTTCTGAAAATTTTATCGTTTTTAACACGAAAAATTGTTTTTCCTGGTGTATTATCTTTGTTTTAGTATAGTTCCACATTATTCTTGAGCTTTTTATCCTTTACGTGATGTGTTCTTAGGTAATGCTTTTTTGTCGTATTACAAATAATCATCGTGAAATCATTTTATGATAAATATTCCATCTCACTTAAGTGCAGTTTTAGTGAGAGCTACGAGTGGATAGCTCTAAATATCAATTTGTCCAAGACCCAAAGAAGAATGGTTTTCTTATCGCTGTCCATGCTTTCTGTTACTTCTTAAAGTACAGGACAAACAAGGATGGTGCACTTTCTTCTATTTACTGCAGAAAATGGCTGTGGGCGCTGGCAGAACTCCCGTCGGGAAGTGAACGTTGACCTCAATTTTGTTAAACGAGACTTATGTGGCGTTGTCTCCGCCCTCTTCCTTCTGCGTCCTGTCGAACCCTTTCAGGGAGGCGGAAAAAGTAACTTAAGCCATCTCTGGACCCCTCTTGTGGATTCGCGTCCATCCATCAACCCCCTCCCCTCCCCCCTCCCCCCTGCGCCCGGGCCCAGTGTGTTCTACGCAATGCGATCGCGGCGCGGCTTTTTTCGAAGGCCGAGCACGCGCAGATAAATCCAGAGGTGAAAGCTGGAACTGCGCGGGCGGGGAAGCGAAATCAAGCATTCGTAATTGGTCCAGCCCCTCCCCGTTGTATGCTAACGAGGGCGGGCGGCGTTCGTGTGCAGAATACGCTCTTCTCTGCGCCACGGGGACGTCGCCGCTCTGCGCGCCCGCTCACGCGAAATCATTTTCTGAATCTCTCTCTGATATCGAACTGATATTGGGAGCCTACCCAGTATCAGAGAATCTAGCCAATTACTTTTTCCTTGTATATAAAAGCAGGTATCTGCGATTTGCATAAGGAATATTCGAATATTGTTTGAGTAGTTGCTGCGTGGCATGACTGAAGGAGAGACGTGGGCGTAATTTAAGCAGCAACGTTTGAAAAATGACGTCGAGGGCGGCGAAGTGAGTGAGGAGACGTTCGCAGTGGGGGGGGCGTAGGGCTGAGGGCGTCGTATCTAGCCCACTCATCAGGCCGCGGGCCGCGTGAGGGAACAACCATAAACGAGTAATCCCCCGAGGCGAAGGGCTGCGGCCACCCGCTGGGCAAACACGCGGCGTCGCCCCGGACGCTCGCACGCACGGAGCGAACACTGTCTGCGCTGGCATTTCAGCCCAGGGCCCGCTCTGTAGAAGGTGAGAAGGCTCGCCGACTGGGCTTTGGAAACTGCAGAAGTCTGCCATGTACGTGTTTTTGTTTTTTTCGAGATGACAATTTTAGATCAACGACGTTGGACAAATACTTTTCAGTTTGTGGTACAATTTTGTAGAAGTATAATGTAAGGGTAATGTAGTTCAGCGTTTTTCTTTCGAAGAGTTATCAGGAACATTTCAATCTGTTATGGAACATCACTTAAGCGTACACGTTTTTGCAAACATTATCACGACTTTTCCGGCGACTATGAAATAATGTTTTAATTATAATTATTGTGAGCACATTTTGGCAAAAGGTGCGAAGTTTGCGTTTGTTTTTTCCCACGACATACAGTAACGAAATTTATAGTCTTCGTGAACCTTCCAAGCATTTGAGGATCCTAAACTAGTACAGACAATGTAAAATTTAAGCAGTTATGAATTCAAATTGTTGTCGAAGGAGATTTGTTGGATGACGAGTCTATGTTGACAAATGTGTGTTGGTAAGAGTAAGTGTGTGCGATGGGAAGGGAGGTGGTTGCAATACGGATACCGGCACTGTGGCGGCAGAGCAATCGGTCGTGATGTTACAGCAAATGCTGTATGCTTTTAGATGTCTCTGTCTCTGTAATGGTAGAAATAACTATATTGATGATAATAACGATATACTTACTGTCATGATAACATTTAAATGCAATAATAAAATATTGAAAATAATAAACTTAATGCTTACGTGGATGAAAGAGTGTTTTGCCCACGAAACTGAGGTTCATAAAGGGTGTGCCAAAGAGATCCACCTCACTCTCTTCGGCAGTGTATCCGATGCGTGCCGTGCGCGGGGGCGGCTGCTTGGCGGCCGCCTCGCGGGCGTCGGTGCTCGCACGTGAGTCACCTGCTTCTCCTTTGTTTGGAGCTTCACATTGGAAGGTGCCGGGGGCGCGCCAGTGGTTGACCTGTCGAACGCCCCGAGACGCATCGGGGAATATCTGTGCGCCTTGCGGTTGCGAGTGCGGTATTTCCCTTTTTGTTCGGCGAGGCCCGTGCTCACGTTTCGTGCGGCCGACCGGTATTTTTTTGGGAGGGAATGTCCCACCGCCCCAATGCGGTTAGGAGAGTAAATTTCGAGAGCTTGTTTTCAGATTGTTTTTGGGCGAATCGTGACGGTTTCTGGAGCGAACGTAAATCAGTCATTTATATGGCATATTTATATGATTTTCAAATGCGTCGCAAGTTTGTTTGTTTGTTGATACGAAGTCATCTGCAATCTCTTTTCTCATATGCTTTTTGTATGTGTTGATTTAATGCTATGATATAATTCTGATAATAGGCAGGGCTGCTATTCATCCAGCTATGTATAATACACATTACAAAGACACGTTTCCGGCTGCTCCTGATTGCGTTTCGAAATCGATAATCATACTGGGAACACACAGAGAACGCTATTCAACTCCAAGATATTGCTTTGCACCGTATTCTAAATCTCTTCATGTATTCGAGTAGGTGAACACAGAGGCTTCAGGAGCTGCGTGGGAGAGGCGTGAGAAACGGCGTTGGAGGCTGACGTTAGCGAAGCACCGTAGAGGAGGCGCCGGGGCCCAAGTCCTTGAAACGGGCTGCGCTAGTGAGGAGAGATCGCACTATCCCACTCGTCTTCCGGTTCGTCCGGCGCTGCGAGGTCTTCGCAGAGGATCCGCGCACGGCAGCAGGAAAGAAGCGCATCGAAAGTCGAGTTTCGACAGCCGTCACAGAGGATGCAGGAATGCGATTAAGTTTTGACCGTATCATGAATACGCTCATGGACACTGCTTCCTTTGATGTTCGCATGATGGAGATGCATTATGTGTTGTGAAACAATGGTCAATATAGTACATGCATCTTTTTTTTACTCCCGTGGCTTACTTTAATTAAGACTGCTTTGGTTGTTTTTTGATAATTTGTTACAAAAACCTCAGTTACCTACTTTCTTGAAGATCGATTACAGTATGACGAACCTTCAACTTAACCGCGTGAAAGCTTCGTAAATATTGTGTTTTTTCGTGTCTATTTGGTGAAAGCGTATGATGTGTTCAGAGTTTCCGTTTGTTTCTTAACTTTGGTGCGTTACGAAATGTTTGACGTATTAGATGTTTTTGTATTCTTGCCGTTCTAAGGAAGCGCCGTTACATCTCTCGGGTTTCGAATTTCGTATTTACTATTCCATTTCAAGTCGCCATCGCAATAAAATAATTCGGCTGAGGTACTGTAGAATGCTTACAACGAAATGCAGGATGAATGCTCTTATTTTCAATTGGTAGTTCTTGTAAGTAATGTAATGTGTAAGGATTGAAAGGAATTATTTGTTGTGCATTTTTCTGACTGGCATTGTAATAAATACCTATGAGGGGGAACAAAGAGATCATTTCCTGTCAGTCGGCAACCGCTTGCTTTCGCCCCTTTAGCGTGGGAGTGAATGGTGGATAAGATTGGTGTGGCGTGTGGGTGCAGCGCCGCTCGCCAGGGAACTCCATTCGCTTTCCGGCCGCCCCGCCCCGCCTCACTGCAACGATTGCTTCTTTTGGCGCTCGCCTCGCCTCACCTTGCTTCTTGCTCGGCCTCGCCTTGCCATTGGCCGCGCTTCCCTTGGCCCGCGCCCGCTTTTCCCTTGCTTGGCGCTCGCAGACTGCCGCCTGGGGCTCTCCGCCGGGCGGTCGTTGGCCTGGGGAAGTCACCTGTTGCCTTGGCTGTATGAGCGACGTTTCTTTAACAGTTGAAGCTCTGTTGTTTACTGCAGCTTTTTGATAATGCGATCGGTAAATTTGTTACTTATTCCATTGCTAATTTTCTCTTAATTTTCTATGTATCTTATTTACCTACTCATTACGGACACATTTTTGAGAGTTGAATTATTTCCCGGACCTGCTGAAAGAATATGTATATTCATATTTATAAAAAAATACTTTTCTTAGGTTATTAACTTCATAAATTATGGTAATAGTTCGTTGCCGTAGTGTTCCGTTGTAAACACCCGGTTTTAACGACCCTCTGCATAAATTAGTGCTGCTTTTCGAGTGAAGTCCGACTCTTGACTAGCCGAGGGAAATGAAGGCCTAGAAAGTTATTGTTATGCCTTCGGTGTTACATCATATTCAAATGAGTTTTCTGAATTGGAATTTTCTATTCAGGGTAGTCTAAACAGCCCATCTCTTAACCTCTGCTATATCGAAAATTATCGTATTAATCTATCCGCATGTTCTTTGTAGTAACACACATACATATGTCCTGATGGGGTGTTTCAAAAAGAGCTATTTCTATTATCGCTACAATTATAAGATATGAGGATGAGTGAAATTAAATGGGCTCTCTTGTATAAAGAAATAACTGAAAAAAAAATTGTGCCAATTTTGTATACGGAACTCCAAAATCCACCCTCGTACATTCTTAAGGATCAACAATCTCAACAAATATTTCAAGCAATTAGCCCATGAGTCTATCTGATAGATTGTTTTTGAAAGTGGAGGTAATCGCAAAATCATAATTCTGCGAGTTTCGTACAAATGATTCTTCGTAATATTCCGGAAGAAACCTCAATTTCAAAGTCAACTACAACCATGCAGCGAACGTTTGTTTATACTTTGGTGTGTTGTGTTCAAGACATTACACATCCACAAAGCGTTTCTCGTCCATGTACCTTGCGCTTGATTTAAACATTTCTTCAAAATGATAAAAGCGGAGTTTATAGGAAACATTATATAAACTTTCAAGCGGACTTAGTGGAAAGGAAGAGTGGCTTCTGACTTTTACAGACATATTCAAGGCATGCATTTTTATTTACAGGTTTTGCGGAATAATTAATACAGATGCCCAAGAATTAATGGGTGCAGCAGTTAATTAAAAGAATAGAACTCATGGACTGAAAGTCAATAATTAACGAGAAAAAATGCCCAATTTTTTTAATAAGCCAAAGTTTTCGTTGCGGGAATGGGTAAGCGATTGGAATGTATCGATGTTAAATTCCGCAATAACATGTCCGTAAACAAATCTTTGGATTTGTAAGAAATACGATTCCATAATTTAATTCTGCTTTTTAGAAGTCGATGAACGTCCTTCCGCTTTCTTATCCATTTCGATGTTTTATTTCTCCGGGAAAGACCGCCTTGTAGGATTTTTCACACTAATTCTCCCAGAACCTTCGCCATTGTGGGCACGCGTGTCTGGCTTCCCAAAGAGCTTAAAGGCAGAATCCGAAGGCGCGCGTCTGTGGCGGTGCGTCAGCTGGTTGCGCGATGCGCCGGTCGCCTGCCGCCGGCTGCTGGTCAGTTTCTCTACGAGCGCCCTTGGTGGCCGGCCCCCAGCCCCGTCCCGCCGCATAGCGTCGCGTCGCGGAGAAAGTGCCGGAGGATTGCGTGGCGTGGGCCGCCGACGGCTCTTTGGACTTCCACCGGCGCCGCGTCCGGGCAATCTTTCCTCCTGTGTAGGCGGGCGCACAGCGGAATGATTTTGCGTTCGGGGGGGGGGGATTTGTATTTAAGTCCGCCGAATAACTTCTTGCGATTGTGGGGCGTCTGCATGAAGAGGCCCGGTATTCACGTAACAAGCTTCCTGAAACGTGCAACCTGAGGATGTGTGTGAAGGCGAATGGCGCAAACCGCTGCTGAGGCATCTCGAGTCTAGTGTGAGACTGCGTTTCGTAATTTTTATGCGAACTGTAAAAGCATAAAAGTTTTACTTGCGTCAGCACACTTTTCTTTCAATAACAGTCGACACCTGACACATAAGAAAAACGTATCTCAGCATTGTGGATCTTGGATCTATAGTGTCGTTATGTCACGTTTCATGGCAAGATTACGACGGTTGAATTGCAATATAACTGGTTACGAGGTTAAGTGTTTTTCAATCGTTATACAATAGTTTTCAGAAATGTAATGACAAATAAACCACTTACAGTTAGCGCCTGTCCTTGGAGGTTACACTGTGTAGGCTGATTGATTAATATGTTGGAATTTCAATGCCAGCATCCCCCACGCGGATTAAAAAGTCTAATAGCCAATATGGACGTACCGTTAAATTCAAGGGCTCGACTCTAAGTAGTTCTATGCCACATTTTCGGCACAGATTATGTAATCCTACTAAAATACGCAGCATATCCAGTATTACATTGTGTTCGACAATTATGGTGCTGGTGTAACAAATGACGCTGTAATACCTTTCCTCCGTGACAAGGAATATCGGATTAAAACCTTTATCTTCTAATTTCTCAGAATGAGCTCCGCGTGGCATAAGACGGTCCGGAGTCAAGCCCTTTACCGACTAAGACCGAGGTTCAGACCACTGGGTCCGGAGATATTAGTCTGCTCACAGAACTGCTCTGTCCAGGAGTTCCAGGTCGTTCTGAGGATCACAAAAGACATGTAAGGGTCTTTGCGAGATACTTTACCCGTGGGTTCATTATAGCTAGGATGATGTTCTAGGATAACTGTTAGACCGACGACACCTTAAGATGTACACGCAAGAAATACGCAGCCATCATAAGTGGAGTCAACGATGATATGGTTTTTGAATTTCTTTTAGTATAATTACGGTATTGTTAGCACACACTACGAAGATATTAAAATGTCATGTTGTTAGTTTAAAAGCGAGTAGATGTTTTGGGGTGTTGTTATATATGAGGAATGCAATTTGATTTCTTGAAGTGAACGCTTCAGCGAGTAAACTCGTGACTTTGGTGGATTGAGTGCGCCTTCGCGGACACTGCGAAGCAGCACTTACCTGCGTGTCGGGGAGAAGCGTAGCGTTGCGTGGCCGGCGGCTCCTCCTCCGCGTGTGCGACGCTGCTCAGCGAGCACGCACACACCACTGCGTCGGCCGGCGAGCGCGGGGGGATGCCCCGGAGAAGCGGGCGGGTGGGGCGCGCACGTGTGCGCGTGTGTGTGGAGGGGTCGGCGGCTGCGATCACCTTGAGGTAGGCCCTTCTCACTCTCACTCCCTCTCTCTCCTCATCAGCAGCCCGCGGAGCTTGGCGTGACCGGTCGGCCCGCCAGAGGGGGTGAGGAGTTCGTTGCCTTCTTGTTTTGGGTCTGCCGTGTAAGCGCCTAACCCTTCGCCCTCCGATGGTCCTTCTAACTCGTTTAGACCGCGTGTGAACTTTCCCCGTGCTTGCTCGAGGCTCGGGTTTCCCGCCTTTCGGTTTATTTGCTCTAGCACGCGTGCTTCAGTGCTTCATTGGGACAAGCAGACCTTCCGTCGAATATTGGTTTACGAGTTCGTTGTCCACTAAGATATTAATCTAATGTCTGTTTTATATTTTCAATAGGTGTTTGGGATTCCTTTCTGCTTTGTAAAATACCGGGACATTTTTCTGTTTTTTTCTTTCTTTCCTCGTTTGACCCTGTTGGCCTGGATCTTCATCCTAATTTGCATTTTGTGTAGCTTCTCGCCTTTGATCCTGCCGAAAAACGGTCTCTGACGACTTACGTGCTCACACATGGCGGCCTCCCGAGATCAATGAAGAACGCGTTTTGCCTCCCCCCATTCGCTTCCCCCCCCCCCTTCGTGGAGGGAGGAAAAGGGTTGGAAAGGGAGGTAATGAAGTGCGCGCACCCCGGCTGTCATTCCACGAGACAAGAAAAGACTGGTGGCTTCTTGTCTTAATATCTCAATGCCTGACTGTTTTATTGCGCCTCCGCCCTTTCATCTTGCTTTTCTTCAATAATGCAAAATTAGCTCGTTATTTAATGTAATATAAAAACAGGCATTGTATTTATTCAGTGCGCCGCTGTGGTTTATTGATCGAAATATTCATCAATATCATTACTTCTCAAGACAGGGTTGCCCAATTTCCAATAATTACTGAATTTTAGTAATATTCAAAATTAATTTTCAAAACGCTCTATGTTAAATTTTGAAAACTAAACTACAGGTGGTGCTTATGCCACGACAGTTTTTAATGGAGAATAAATAATCTTGTGTTATTTCAAAAAATGCGAAAAAAAGGTATGGACTCATAAATTATTTTCTTACTACTGAATATTAAAGTCAGATCATCCTTATCTTCGTAAACTTCATTTTATCAAGACATTGATAAAACGATTCCTTAACGGATGTTACAGATCATTGTATTTCTGTGAAAATGGAAAGATCGAAATGTCTTAATTTTTCTTGTGACAATGAAAATTACGACACAAGAATGCCATAGAACAATACGTAGTACATTATAAGCATTGGTTGTACGAAGTAATGCTGTTGAGTTATTGAGAGTTGCCCTTTTGTGGTAATATATAATGTAAGTGTTGATATGAATGCTGAAATGTAAATGTAGAACTTGATACGAGTGTAATAATTCGTAAAAGATAGATTTGAGGTAGTAGTGGGTTGCTATGAATGCGAGCTTTGTTTGAGAGAAGATAGCTATAATTCGAAAGAAATGGACGCCTGATGATTAAGTCTTGATATTTAAAGTGAAATTCTGGTTAAAATACCCAATGAATAGCATCTTCAAGAATTTAGAAGACTAGCGAAACCTTGTGAAAATTATTTGATATAATTAATTGGTGGTTCAAGATTACGGAACAAAATATTCGCGAGAAGGTGAGTGCGTAAATGGAAAGAAGCGGCAGTTGAATTATATGGAAATAGCCACGATCACGGGCGCCTACGAGAACATTCACTGTTACGGGACAGACGTTCATTAGTTACTACATAACAATCAAAAAATGTTTCTTCTTAGATGTGGAAATGTTTTCTTATAACTTTGCTAGTTTCTCGTAAGGCTTTTTGTTTTCAACATAATGTGTATGATTGCATGTTATTACTCGTACCTAACGTTTTTGTGTTGTATTGCATTTTAAATCGAAGGAAGCGTGTCGAACAACAGTTTTACGACGATTGCACATATCAGAGTCTTTCCAGTCACACGTCACAGAAATGCGTTTGCCACTTTGTATTTGTTTCATTACTGAATCAATGAAAGGCCTGACGATTATATAATATGCCGAATTGTTTCTGACCTTTCACGAGGGCTCCGAACTTTTAATGATTTAGTGAAATTAATTTTTACAGTAACAAAGTATTTTGGTATTAAAGTTCAGATCTTTCAAAGGTATTTGTGAGAGATATAAAAAAATGTGTTCATTGAAAGAACCTGCAGTACCAACCTTATTTATTATGTAATGTTGCGAGAATGCGTGACTATACCAGTAATTGCACCAGTTTCCTGTCTTAGGTGCCACGAAGTAGGATATTTTATGCAGTTTCATGCACATTTTAAAAGAGAAAAAGAATTACCTTTCCTTCTCGAATTTCGTTGTTTTTAAAAAAAATTAAACTCTAATATTACTCTCTCGTTTATTATGTATTTACTCGGTAGAAAAATGTTAAGAAAATCATACATACATTTGGCGGGGTATTTGATATAGGCCCGTAAAAATCCCTCTGTGATACATTATTCATTATTTTATTGACGTTCAATTAATTTTTACAAAATTGTTAGTTACGTTTTCATTGAAGTTTACATTTTGTAATCATTACAATTTCCCCTTACATTTAGGTCATGTGTTACCGGCAAAGTGAAATATTGTTTCGCTTTTTGTACTGAAGCTCTTTAACACGTAAACAACCTCCAACTGAATAATAGGGATGGGCTGTGATTATACCGTTATCAGCACGAAAACCAGTGCTTTGTTAATTGTTTAGTCAGGTTTTCATAATTTTTAATTTCGTGTAACTCAGTTTTTATGTGTTTTTCTTAAAGGTCTGAGTTGGTAGTTACTCTTCGAGCATTCTTCTTCTTCTTCTTCTTCTTCTTATTATTATTATTATTATTATTATTATTATTATTATTATTATTATTATTTTCTATATCAGTTTTGTTATCAACAGACTGCATTTAAGCTGTTAACTTCCAGAGAGAGAGAGAGAAGGCGTAGATTTCATTGCAGGTACCTCAGATTCTGTTAATCTGTTTGTAATAAAGCTTCCTGAAGCGTGGGCACAAAGTTATGATGCGCCTGTAGATTTTATGAGGTAACAGATGAGAGAGCTCCGTTCCCCAGTGAATTAGAGCAATTTGTAAGTTCTTGTAAGGCAGGCCCCTCGGGCCGGGGGGCGGTGAGCCGGCGGTGGCAATTTAGAAGGGGAGGGGGAAACGCTTCACCTCTCGACACATTGAATGCACATGGAGAGCATGGAATGTTGTGGAAGGTTTATCGTATCGATTGCCGCGGGATCTTGTCAATTTATGTCACAAGTATCAGTATCTTTCAGAGCATTGTTTCCAAATTTATGTAAGGAGTAAACATTTTGTTATTGAAATAGCTGCAAGGAAGGCTTTTCCGGAAAGAAGTGGAAGAGTCTCTGTCGATTTGTCCGAAGCATTGAAGCGAGGTAGCGGGCGGCGAGACGTGAAACGAAAGCAATGCCGACCGCTTCGCGCGGATGTTCTGCGAATGCCGCCCGTAAACCCCTGAGGAAAGCCCGGCGCGCCGCGAGTGCAGGCGGAGGAGAGCCCCCGCGCGGCCTCGGTCGCTTTCTCCGGCGCGCGGCCGCCGCTGCGACGCGACTCGCGACGCCGACGTTGCGAAGAGCGGCGCGCGGCCGCAAGTGTGTCGCCCGCGCTTCTCTCGGCGCGTGCGCGCCTCCGCCTTCCGTATTCTTGATTCCGTGCCTGTACGCTCCTGCTGGAAATGGGATTTGGCTGAATTTGTTGAGTCCCATATATGCAATGATTCGCGTCGAATTATAACAACTGGGAAAGCTGCACATGTAGTTGGTGCCACTGGTGACGTTTCGTTTCTCAAATTTAATTTGTTTAATAGAATAATAATTATTCACGCTTAGTACAGTAACTACCAAATCGGGATTTTCAGAAACCCTGATAAAAACAGAGTATTACTGACACGAAATAAAAGAAAGTAATAGGGAAACACGAAAACACAACCAAGAAAGCACTGAAATAACTACCCTTCGTAATATTTAGTGCGATGCTAATTACATCTCCCGAAATGTTTCAGTAGAAATTAAACGTATTTTACTCTTACTCTATCCAAATCTTCTGTTTCGTTCAGAGGGAACACGGCATCACGGAGTAAATGTTTTTACACGAGTTAGTAAACTTCGAACTCGAATCAATGGTGTACAGAATTCAAATTAAATTTTTAACGAAAGCAGAATTATCGCTTGTTTCTTGTTTGGCTGCAATCGTGGCATCTATCTCTTCTCGTTCCCTTGGTTATCAAGATAATCTTTGCATCTGAGTTTTCTTAACAAAGACTCATCGTCTTTCTCCACTAGGTAAAAGGTACTACTAGAATCTCTCTTAGGCATTTTTCCGAGAGGTAAAACTTTTTTTTTGCTTCATTCTTGGTAGAATATTGATAGTACTTTGCATTCCGCACTGCGACCTGCGTAGCCTTTTCCTTTCACTCGAAAGCCATCTCCTCGACCCCTCCAACCTATTGAGGCGTGGCTTTGCAGCTTTCAGAATCGCGCGTGGCAGTGAAAACTGGTTCCTGGAGCATGATGTGAGATGGCAGATAGCGGCAAAGAAGGTCTTGTGTTGAAGAAAGGACGTGGAAAGCTGATATTTTACTTGTCATATTTTCTTGTACCTTTCTCTGACAATGTCATTTGGGGAAATGAATCCTACCAGTTATTTCACAGTGCGTGTATAAGGCAATAATAGATCATGACTTTAATATTACAAACCACTTTCTTCGGCATGGTAATGACATTATTTAAGAAGATAGAAATCTGCAAATGAAAGGATTCAATTTCAAACAATGACAGATTGGGGCAAATAATTTCAGAGTGTAGGTATTTGAAAATATAAGTTGCCAATCTTAGTATATATTGCCAAAATAATTGTATTGTTGGAACGATATCATAAATATCACGCACAGGTCAGTAATTGAACCAAATTTAAACAGTCTGAGTAGTATATCGTAGAAGATACAAAACGAACACGTTCCATCGTTCTTTCTTCGAACTTTTCGTACGGATAGTACTTTCTGCAGTGTTTAAGATGACATGGAATATTTTTGCTGTATTCTCATGTTTTTTTTCAGAAGGAAGGCGTTATAGATCATTGATGATATCCTGTAAGAAATTTCGGGTCTTACATGAACCTTTTCCTCTTCCGCCTCCCTCAATTTGGGGATGTCCTTGACGCCTCTTGCGCTGTGAGGCAATTTGAAACCTCTCTCAGGCATGTGTCTGCCGAAACCTTTGGCGTTGCGCTCAGTTTCAAAACCTGGAACGCCCGCCACTTTTCCCAATCTGCATGCAAGAGCTCTCGCACTTTCTTCCACTTCCGACCTTCGGCACTTCATTACGCCCTTCTGAAGTAGACGAGGCGTATTTCATGGTCACTCGCAACACTCTCATGGAAGTGGTGATATGCCCGAAATGTAACGGATTTGAACGGAATGACGCGCTTGAAGTTCTGAGGACGATATAAAGTCCAATTCATGCAGTCACCTTCTTTAGCGTTTATAAGTTCTCATTCACTGCGCTTGTCAACGTGATAATTATTCAAATTTAAGACTATTTTTTCTTACCATTTCTTTCATTTGTCATACATTTTAATACCTTTTGCGAGTTTTACTTTCTCGTATACGTACGTGTATGTGGAGTAACATACGTAGTATAGAGAAAGTTATGTAATGCTGTGGAAAATTGATTTCGAAATTTCAACGGAAGTACATGTTTTGGGGTCCCCTGATACCGAAAAACATCAGTCTGTCAGTCTGTTAGTCTGACCGTCCGTCTGTGAACACTCCTAGCGCCTAAACAATACGTAGAATGTTTCCCAAATTGAGGCCTGTCCATCTTGCTAGTGTCGAAGCTTTCATATCTTGAAAAACATTTTTTTAAAATTTGGGGGAACTGTACATGATGCCCCAGAGACATTTTCATTTTTTTTCAAAAACTGCTCCAAATTTTTTCTTTACATTTCATATAAGAATCCGGTTTAAAGTTCCGCTTTATTCACCAACTGAAAAAGGCACCTTGCCAAAAAGCACCTGAATGTTTCAATATTTGCCGCATCCGTTGTGATGTCTCCAGTGAAATATGAAGGTCTGTATCTGAGTATCTGAAATATGAAGTATTTCTAAGGATTTCCTGATGATTTTAGATAGAGGGCTTGGAAGAATTTCATTAGGTTTATGATTTTTCGATCATAGTTATTTTTGTATGTTTTTTGATTGTTGAGAAATGCCATGCTAACTTCGTTGTGGGCGATGTGTACTTCTAGCAATAAGGATATGAAACTTATTTATTTCTATTAGCATTTTTAAATTAAGAAAGAATTAGGCCAGATCTGTTTTGAATTTGAATAAGTCCAGATCCGTTTTGGAAGTCCAGAACCCTCTTAGTCTGACCCCGACCGGATTGGAGGACGCACGTCTACCTCTGCACATCATTCGCCTCGGCTCGCGTTGCGACGGCCGGGCGCAGCGGATGCGCGTTGTTGTGTGCGGTTGCGTCACATGTGACGTCAGGAGCAGCCCCGCCCCCCGCGCTCGGGTGAAAGCGCACGTGCGCGCCGGGCTGTCGAGGCGCGCGGCCCCCGCGCCCTTCACGTAACGGCGGCGGCGCGCGGAGAATTCGGGCGATCTGCATCGGTTTCGGCGCTCAAACCTGCTCATTCGGTCCGCTTTATGCTTGGCCGCCCAATGGGACTTTCGTCAAAGTGTCGCCTGAATGGCAGGTTTTAGCTTTTCGGCGCTGCTTCCGCGTTCTTGGTTCCAATCGATAAGGTATTATAATACATAGATGATGCAATATGGAGCGTTTTTCTTTTATTTCTTCTGCTCAGATGTGGCACGATGAACGCATCAAATTAGATGTGTGCCTTGTCACTGCTATTACATACTTAGTAGATAAAGAAGGGAGGCTTAAATACTTAATGTCTCGTAAATATTAAGACAATGGGCACTGAATAATTAATAGCTCTTATCATTGTAAAATATGATTTGTGTTGTTAATAAATTAATCAATCGTCAATACGACATACTTTATCGTAAATGTAAATTTTGTCACAAAGATGTAAAATATGAAAATTTATAAGCAAATTGTTCTCGTACGTTGACATCGCGTGCTCATTTGCGCTTGCGGAAGCATCCTCAAGAAGCTGCGCGCGTTGGCCCTTGAGCGGCGTTGCGCAGGCCCTGGGCGCAGCGTTGCGCACTCTCGGCCCGGGGAAAGCAGAGTGCGGACGTGCGCGTGCGCACACATTACATGGCTTGCACGTCGCGGCTGCTGCGAACGCACTGCCTCCCCGCCCGCCCCGACGCCGGCGCTCCTCATCCCCGGTGCTGCTGGGGATGCGATCGGCCCGAGGGATTTTAGGGCGCGCCACTCTCCAACAACTCGTTGAATCTCGCAATGCGTGAGAAGGGAGGAAAGCGTGTAATGAGAACGATAATGCAACGGCTTAAGGCGGTTCGTTGCGCCCTCACTCCCTAAGCGATTCCATTGGCTTCTGTTTCTGTTTCGTTTCTGTTGATGGACATCCTTCAAATGTCGGCTGAAAGAATGAATTCGGGCCCCTTTCCGGGAACATGAAGTTGTTTATTTTCTTCTCTTTTTATCGGAGTCAACGCACGGTTTGGGAAAGATGTCCTAAGTTGCAAGATAATGTCCAACTTGTCTGAGATATGTGGGATTTAAAAGCATGTAAATATTGTGCGTTTAATTATTTGTATTTTCAGTGCTAAAGTTTGTAAAGTAAATTAAATGTATTTACAAAATTGCAACTATACTTAGGGATGAAGCGTAAAATATTATTATGAGATTATAGAAGTCTATAGCAGATTATAGAAGTCTGTATGATGAGGCTGATGAAGAATACGATGGTACGTAGTAGCTCAAAATATACGTCGTATTTCCTGATAATACGTTCTGTGAGGGGTAGTAAAATGACTATATACCGCGCAATTTATTTGCATATTTTTATATTGAGTAAATTGGTGCAAAGTGATGGCGAGAATAAGGAATTCGACATGGTAAGATATCTTACGAGAGTAAGATGGGGAAAGCACACTGGGTTCTTTGTGAGATGAAATTCAGTAATTTTCTCACGGCGTTTCTTTTGCTCATTAAATCCAATGTGATATTTTTAGCCGGATGGTAAGAAGTAGCGTTTGATGCATTTTGTCCAGGAATCATAGGAAATTATGCTATTACTTGGAGAAATAGAATAATTGTTGTGGAAATAACATTTGCAGATGATTAGGTTGTTACATTATTCATGCTCCGAATTAGTGGCAGATGGGCAGCAGTGTGTGGAATTATTGTCTTACGTACGATGGTTGTTGTTTGTGATCTTACGAATTACTGACATTTCCTTGGAGGTATTCTCGTAGGCTAATTTCAGGATAAAGAGAGGTCTTGGTAGCGTTGATTTTCGTATTCGATTCATCTATAGTTTTAGTGTCAATCCTGGAAACATTTTTCGAATGTGAGGTTGGCACGTGTCAGCCCAAGATTTCAACACAGTCCCTGTTGCCATCATTGCAAGACCACCGTATTGAATGTTAATAGAACAATCATTTACGCGCTTTATTCTTGTAGAGGAAAAAAATGATTTTGTGGTTTTTACTTCATTCTAGTTAATATTTATTGTTCTGAAATCTTCGAAATTTGTCAAGGTTCGTCGACTATAGTAGAATGTAATACTAATTACTTTCTTTCCGAAGGTTTTTGAAATTCATTTCCATCGGGACTTATACTAGTGACACTACTACACTAGGACTTATAATAGTAACACATCACGGAGTTGAATAGCTATCGGAACTTGTATTCAGTTGTGAGTATTTCCTGATCAATAAAATAAATTTTCCAAACCGTCGGCAAACAACTAATTTGGCCCTTGGCCAAGTCCTATGTATATCTTTTACAATATCTGTGATCATAAATATATAAAATGTGTAGAAGATTGAAGTATGATTGAAGTTATCTTTAGGAAATTCATCTAAATGTATTTTTACCGTAAATGTCTTATATTCCTTGATTTCTTTTTTAATTCTAGCTAATTTGGTCGCGTTACATACAATTGCCATTTGACTGAGGGATAAAGGTATTTTCATATTAAACCTGACTAATATATAATTTGGTATTCGTTAGGGGGCGCGCCTACCAGCAGTGGGTTATAAACTGATATTTTGAAGGAGAATTAACAAGCAAAAATATCTCTTCCAGAGGTGTGACTCCAATATATGATCTCTTGGGTCTGAAAAGTTAGGGTTCTCTCCACGCGACGTTAGGGACCTCAGCTGCCGGGATCGGCCAAAATTGCAAATATTCGCGGGATCGGTTTCCATTCTTACTTTCTCGTATATGTACCTATATACGGAGTATAGAGAAAGTTATGTAATGCCCCGGAAAATCTATTTCGAAATTTCAACGGAAATACAGTTTTGAGTTCTCCCGATAACGAAAAAAAATTGTTTTGTTTTTTTTCCTCCACAACGTCCGTCCGTCTGTCCATTTGTGACCACCACAAGCGCCTAAACAATTTTTTTTCCAAAATGTATATTCCTCGCTCGATCTGGCTTGACTTGAGGTTCTATGATTTTCAATTTTTTTTTAAAAATTTTGGGGTACTTAAATGAAGCTCCCCGGACATTTTCAAGTATTCCCAAAAGTGGCTCCAGATTTTTTCTTTAAATTTCTTGTGAGAATAGAGTAAAATGCACTTATAAAAGTGACAAAGATCCGATTTTCACTGTTTACTCTGAATTTTTGATAAAAGTAAAGTTTGATTTTTTACCGGCGACTTCCTGCAACTACAAAAATGAAGATGGATAGTTCTCCTTTATATGAAATTTGTCGATAATAAGTTCTTTTGTTGAGGTCATGTACATATTTTTAAAATTTTAGTAGTTTTTGCACAATATATCTTGCTATTTGTGCAATTAAAAAAAAGAGTCGTTTAAGTAAAATCTTTTTTTAAGATTTCACTTAAACGACTCCATTTTTTTAAATTTACATTTTTGGTAGGGATCGTGATAAATGAACTCTATAAGATGGCATAAACGCCATTTGCCATATTCTGTTGTTTGTACAAACATTACAGTACTTCTGAGAAGCCTCTTACGTCGTTAATATTTACATTAGCGGCGATTACTTCACATTATTTCATTGATGAGATCATCTGCATGTTTAAATAATGTCATATTAAAATTTCTCGCCACACACTCGTGTTTTTGTGTGAAAACGAGCACAAAATTCCTGATTTTCTGAAAGGCTCAAACGCTATTTTATCAAAGATGGCTCCAAGTTTTCTCTTCAAATTTTTCGTAGGAGTAGTTTTAATTGCATTGTTGATGATTACCTTAAAATAATTTGACTGTACTCTTATGTTTTTTTTTTTCACAAAAGTATTTGCATTTGTGCCTACCATGTGAATTGTGTATTTTTATTATTCAACTTCTGTATATTTTCGAAGTGGTAAAATGAAATTCATTCATTAACGCTTAAACATACTTTCCATAGAGGACAATATTTTACTCTTCTATTGTATTCTTAAAGTAATTTTTCGTTTGAAGCATTAAGAAACCCGGACTGCCGGAAATCTTGACACGGCCAAATAAATGAGGAAAGTAACTAGTACGAGAAAGTATGTGCCGTTATGTTGCACCACTGGTTTTTTACGCATTTGGCGGTTGGAGGAAAATTACCGTGATTGTTTGCACGTACAAAAAGGTGTGGATTTAACGGTTTAGTGCCTTGATTATTGTTGTAGGCTCAGAGGGTTCGTTCTTTGTAGAATGAAGTCTCATCTACTTTTAGTGCAGGCCGTGACCCAGCGTGCATTAAATCTGGTATGTATCACTCTGAGACTCTTTTGTTTTGTGAAGAGAGTTCATTTTTTTGTGACTCGGCGCTTCGTTATTGCTTCGTCAAGGCGATGGAACATACCAGCTATCTCCCTCTCACTGCCAGGTAGGAAGACTCAATCCTTTTGGCATCTCCTATAAATCATTGTTCCAAGATTTAAGTCCTGCCTGTGTTCAAGGCATTAAAACAGGTGATTAAGGCATTATTTGTTGCAAGAGAGAGCAATAGAAGTTGATTATATTCAAAGCGCAAGTACGTACTGTCAATAAGTGATGTAATAAGAGGTTGACGTAGCATGATTATTAAGGGGACCCCAAAATCAATCGCTTCAGAATGATAATGCATTTGCTTGTGTGGAAGAATATTGGAATTTTAAAATTCACTGTTTGATACTAGAAAGCAACCTATTAATTTAGATTTGGCGAGAAAAGATGCAAATAAGAATTTTCATTACTTTTAGCGGGTGTTCATAATAAAATTTAGGTTGATCGAAATAAGAAATTTGAAGTTGGAGTGGCTTTGAAGCTGTTATTTCTGATTGTGAAAAATGATGCTAAGCACACCCAGACCCGGTATCTCGTGTGTGTTCGGCGGGGCAACGGTCGGGCGAGGCATGGAGGTCGGGGAGGGTGGCCCTGTCGCCTGCCTCTGCTGCCCCGGTGATGGGGGGTAGGTGGTCGCAAACCGGTTGGCGAGGACGCGCTGCCCTGGCGCCCGTCCCATTAATTAGGCTCAGGCTTCCATTTGCCCTCCAAGCCATCCTCGCCGTGCCCGTCGTC